GGTGCTCAGGCTGGAGAGATGGCTCAGGGGTTAAGAGTGCTGCCTGTTCTTCCAGAGGTCCTGAGTTCAATTCCCAGCAACCACCTATAATAAATTCTGGTGCCCTCTTCTGGCCTGCAGGGATACATGCAGGAGGAACACTGCATCTGTAATACATAAATTTAAAAAAAAAAGGGGGGGGGGGAGAAAGAATGGTGCTCACTGGCTTGCTCTTCATGGCTGATTCAGCCTGGTTCCTTATAGAGTATAACTTTGGCTATCCTGGAATTAACTCTCTAAACCGGGTTGGCCTTGAACTCAGATATCTGCCTGTTTCTACCTTCTGAGTGCTGAAATTAAAGGCATGTACCACCCTCTCCTGAATTTTTTCTTTTTCTTTTTCTTTCTTTTTTTTTTTGTTTTTTGTTTGTTTGTTTGTTTTTCTTTTTGAGACAGGGTTTCTTTGTGTAGCCTTGGCTGTCCTGGAACTCTGTAGACCAGGCTGACATCAAACTCACAGAGATCCTCCTGCCTCTGCCTCTGCCTCTGCCTCTGCCTCTGCCTCTGCCTCTGCCTCTGCCTCTGCCTCTGCCTCCTAAGTGCTGGGATTAAAGGCCTGTGCCACCACTGCCTTTTTTAAATTAAATTTTATTTTATTTTATATGTATGGGTGTTTTGCCTGCATGTGCATTATTTGTGTGCCTTGAAGGCCAGAAGAGGGCATCAGATCCTCTGGAACTGGAATTACAGCCAGTTACAAACTGAGTGGTGGGTATCAAACCCAGATTTTCTGGAAAACCTCTTAACTGCTAAGCCATCTCTTCAGCTGCTTCTTTTTCTTTTCAGAAAAGGTCTCACATTATAGCCCAACTGGCCTTGACCTCTTGGCAATCTTTTTCTCTGGGCTACCGAAATGGCATGGCAGGCTTATAGGCATGAACCTACATATCTGGCTTCCCAAGCTGGTCTTGAACTCCTGGACTCAAATGATCATCCCAGTTCAGCCCCTCGTGTGGCTCCTGCTACAGGTTTGTGCCTCTGTGCCCATCTATCTTCTTTTTCTTTTTTTTTTTTTTTCATTTCTTTTCTTTTTTCTTTTTCTTTTTTTTTTTTGTTTGTTTGTTTGTTTGTTTTGTTCTGTGTGAGACAGTGCTTCTCAGTGTACTCCTGGCTGTCTTGTAACTCTGTAGACCAAGCTGGCCTAGAATTCTGAGATCAAGTGTCTCCAGGGTGCTGGGATTAAAGATGTGTGCCACCACTGCCCGGAGTTATTTTTCAATCCCAAGAGTCTATAGTTATGCAATCACTGAGTCCACTAGGCTTAAGATGTCCCTCAGGGTTAGTGGTTTTGCATTAGATACTAAAATTCTATGCTACCAAAATGTTAAGATTTGTAGGTTATCATAAACTGATTTCTGTGTAATACTAGATTTGGTAAGTCACTGCAGTTGATAGCTTTATGCTCTTATGCAGGAGGTGACCAGCACCAAGATGACAGATAGTTGAGATTTACACTGCCCAGGCTGCAAAACCAGTTTTAAACACATAAACTCAGAGTTTGGGCAGTGCAGTCCTGGAAAGTGAACAACTCAGGGCATAAGAGTTCAAGACTAGAGAAGAACCCGCAGAAGCAGAGCAAAGCACTCTGTGCCTACCCCTTTCTCCCATGGACTATGACACAAGCCTCTTCAGAGAAGCACCCAGGTTCACTGGCACCCATCAGTGAACAGACTAGAGGGCTGGGCAGTCCAGAATGGCTTCCTGGAGTAGTGAGGGCGTTTGGTGTCCCCATTATTCGTTGATTTGTATGTGTTCTATTTACCACACCGTTTTCTCCCTGCTAGCTTAGCAGGTAGGTCAGGTGAACTCTATCCAGCTAAACCAGGATGCCTCTGTGCAATGGCGCTGGGAACCACAAGAGGGTGCCCGAGAGGCAAGTCACGATCCCGTGGTGCCCCGCGGCTACCCACTGCGCATGCGCAGTTCCGCCTTTCCGCACAAGCGTAAAGGTCTCCTTGTCCTCAGCAGGCTGAGCTGGTCTGGACGCGAAAGAATTAGAGATCGGCAGGGAGGGTTTGTTGCAGCCATGCCGGACTCCTGGGACAAGGATGTGTACCCGGAGCCCCCGCCCCGCACGCCGGCTCCCTCGCCACAAACCTCGCTTCCGAACCCCTTGACCTACTTTATGAAGGCCTTCGATCTCCTCGTGGACCGGCCCGTGACCCTCGTGAGAGGTACGGGGTCTAGGATTGCGCCCGCTCAGTGGAGATCCTGGTACCCCAGGATCCCACGTCCAGTACGGGTCCCCAGGGTTCAGCCATCACCCGTTGCACGTTGCTCTCCCACATCCAGGGGCTCCGAGTCCAAATTTTTTTTTTAGTTATATTTATTTCTTTTCCAAATCGTCTCAACCTTCCCCAGTATACCTAGGACACCCGCTGCCGGAACCTTTTGTTTCCCCGCAGCACCTCAGACCACTTCCCAGGACCTCCCATCGCCTCCGGGGAATAGACCGCTTCTTACCGGGACTACACCCTGCCCATAATTCTTTCTGCCTTCAGCAGAACCCTGACTTCCCTAGACCCCAGTCGCTCTTTTAAACGGTAGTAGCCGGAAATTGGGCAGTAGTAGCGCTTGTCTTTAATCCCAGCACTGGGGGAGGCAAAGGCAGGTGACTGAATTAGAAGCCAGCCTAGTCTACAGACCGAGTTTGAGAACGGACAAGGTTATACAGGGAAAAAAACAAAAACAAAAACGGCAGTAGTCGGGAATTTAGCCCACCGTCAGGGAGTTTTACTAGGTGTGCTCAAGCAGCAGGCCAGTAAACTCTTGTTAAAATGGACAATTTGCTAGCCATCCATCTGCATGGTCAGTGTTTGTCGTTATCAGGTATACTGCCAGTAGCTTGTATTACAGACAGGTCACTGCCTCTGGTTTACAGGTGGTCCCTGGGTTAGGCAGGTGGGAGTTTACAAGCCAGTTACAAAGTCAGCTCCGTTTTTTTGGATAGCATCTGAATGTCTCAACTCTGTGCTCTTTGACTTACCAATGGGTCCTACTGCTTAATTTCTAATGGAGATTCCTTGCCTACTCAAACCCTGTACCATTGGGGCAGGTAGGCTTCTCTGTTCTCAATCCTCAATTGAGTATGTTCTCTTCTATATAAGGATCTGCTCTGTATGGTTAGGGGCACAAGGTGAGATTTTCATGCAACTGAAGGTGGTAACTGTTAACCACTCTAGCCAGTCCCTTTACAGCCTGTTTCTGTTAAAGCTTGGAACCTTAAACTCCCTAGCTAAAGTCAATGCAGAAAGGCTTTGAGTTTGAGGTATTCTCTTTTCAGAGTTTATTGAGCAACAGCATGCCAAGAACCGAACTTACTACTATCATCGGCAGTACCGACGTGTGCCAGACATCACAGAATGCAAAGAGGGTGATGTCCTTTGTATCTTTGAAGCTGAGATGCAGTGGAAAAGGGACTAGTAAGTACACACAGCAGAGAACAGTTGGTGGGTGGCTGTGTTGTAAAATAGGCCCTTCCTGAAAAGGACCCAAGACTCTTGGGCTGAGGCAGGCCTCCATCCTTCCAAATTCTTGCAGCAGAGTTGACCAGGAAATTGTCAACATCATCCAGGAGAGGCTTAAAGCCTGTCAGCAGAGAGAAGGAGAGAGTGCAAAGCAGAATTGTGCCAAGGAACTGGACCAGTTCACCCAGGTGGCTAAAGCCTACCACGACCGCTGTGAGTTACCCAGCTGGATCCCATCCCTTGCTTTGTGCTTTCAACCTTGCCCAAACTCCCATGTATGTAACAAAAAATCACGCTCTAACTCTTTTACAGATTATGACCTGGGAGCCTATTATTCTGCCAGAAAGTGCCTGGCAAAGCAGAAGCAGAGAATGCTGGAAGAAAGAAGGGCTGCTAAGCAAGCAGCTGCTGCATAAGACTCCAAGAACTCTTATTATTACATTGCTGAAATAAAGTGACTGGATATACCCTGCCTGTGGTTTTAGTGTCCACTAAAGCATAATTGAGAAGCTGGGAAGTTCCAAGCATGGGGAGGATAGGCTAAAGAAAACAACCAGACAAGCATTAAACAGACTTAATTCACTTTATTTTTCTTGTATAAAACCCCTTATGTGGTGGCAACAGCTGGAGCCTGGGTCCTCTGAACAGAGACTCTGATATGGGCTTTCACAAGATGGTCAGTGAATTCCTGAAAAGATAGTGGAACATGAATGAATACAACACATTCCCCTACTCTTAAGAAACCCAAAGCAGCCAACACCCCACCTAAATCAGTATACCTGATAAGGAGACTTGGTGAACACAGTCTCTTTCCAGAGGTCAGGGGTCAGGTAGCTGTAGGTCTTAGAGATGGCATCAAAGGTGGCCTTGGCTGGAAAGCAACAATGAAAAGGATTAGTGGCTTAAAACCAAGATGAAAGGTCCCTCCCACTAAGAAGCTGTTGCACTCCTAGGAACAGAGAAGCCACTTTGAGGCAGGTCTGTCGTGCATTAGGAGGGCCATCCTCTTTCTCCCTTAAAAATACGCCAAGCACACACTGGCCCAGTGTGATCCAGCGGAGCTGAGAGATGCCACAGCAACTGTGTGAGGTACTTACCAAAGTTGCCCAGGGTGGCAGTGCAGCCCCTGGCTGATGTGTAGCAGTCATCAATACCAGCCATCATCAGTAGCTTCTTGGGCACAGGAGCAGAGACGATGCCAGTGCCTCTGGGGGCAGGGATGAGACGCACCAACACAGAGCCACAGCGGCCTGTCACTTTGCATGGAACAGTGTGGGGCTTGCCAATCTTGTTCCCCCAGTAGCCTCTCCTCACAGGGACAATGGAAAGCTTGGCCAAGATGATGGCCCCTCGGATAGCTGTGGCTACCTCCTTGGAGCATTTAACACCAAGACCAACATGACCGTTGTAGTCCCCAATAGCGACAAAAGCCTGTGAAAAGACTTGGGTGAAATGGCTGGTGGTACTAAACAGAACCAGCATATCCCAACTAGGACCTGTGGTGCTCCTCTAGGAAAGAGAGGCCACTGTGAGGCCAATCAAAGATACTTGAGGAACTCATTTCTCTCTCTCCCGGTACGAAAGTCACACGGATGAAGCCTAGTGTAACTATGCAGAGTGAGAGAGTTTAGACACCTCCACCCTGCCAAAAAACAATACCTTGAACCTGGTCCGCTGGCCAGCCCTTGTCTGTTTCTGTACTGGCATGATCTTTAGAACCTCATCCTTAAGAGATGCCCCCAAGAAAAAGTCAATAATCTCGGATTCCTGAAACAGGAAATTGGTAGGAAAGATGTTATGTTTGCTTCCTCCCAATCACTGGACAGTAAAGGTCTGCAAATCCTGCCTATGTAGACAGCAACCTTCCCTCCCAAACGATATTTCAACACCTAGATGTCTTTGTACCTTAATGGGCAAAGAGAAAAGGTAGATCTCCTCCAGGGACTTGATCTTCATGTCCTTAACCAGGCGGCCCAGCTTGGTGACAGGGACCCACTAAAGAAAGACACCAGTCAAAAGGCTGCCTGCCTCATGCAGAGAGCGCGCGGCCGCCCAGTCCAAAACCAGACCTACCTCCTTGTCTTCGGCTTTACCTCCACGAGCCCCACGGCCTCGACCACGGCCACGGCCTCGACCACGACCGCGGCCCCTGAGGCCGCTGCCGAAGCCTCCGCGGAAGCCGCCGCGGCCTCCTAATCCTGGGCCCCCGGGTCCTCCGGGCCCTCCCGCTGCACCGGCGTCATCCGCCATTTGCTAAAGAGACAAAAAATCAACTCAGGAGGACACTCTGCTTTGCGGTCGCTTGGGGTTCCGATAGAGGACCTTCCGCCCAAGGGCGTCTCCGTGCGGATGTCCACGGATGTCCACTGCCCAGGCCCCAACACCAGGACCCACTAACTCAGACTCACGTGTTTTCCCGAAGTAGAAGAAGAGCGCGGCTGTGCAGAAGGGAGATTTTATAGTGCACCAAGCGCCGCGATATCTCCACTGCCTGTGCAGCTCACCCGCAGGCTGTAATTGGCTGCGTGGTGTCCCGCCTCCGCCACGTTCCGCCCGCGCCTGCGCATATTGCCTCCCCGAAGCCACGACGTACACCGACTGGGAGGGCATATAAAAGCTCGGCGGCCTCGCCGGCCTCCCGGTGTTGGTCGTTGCGTGTTCCACTTCGTCTGTCAGGTAAGTTGTTCCTCATCGGCCTCGCGTTCGCCTTGGGCCCCGAAAATGGGCGTTCGTTGAAAATCATTTTCGGCTTTGCTGTGGCCGGAGGTGAGATTCGGCGCCCAAAGCCACAGGGGCCTCAGCTCACCGCCCGCTGCCCCAGTGTGGGAGGGTGAAACCCAGGCCCCTACATTCCCCGACCGCCTCGCGGCTCTCACGGCCTGGCTTGTGGCATCGATCCTAACTAACCATGTCATTTCTCCACAGGTTCCACTGGATCTGGATACTGCTGCAGCTTCGCCCACGAAAATGGCAGGGTTCCGATCGATGTCCTCTTCTCAAATAAAGTTACTTAACTTACCGTATGTGTATTGGGGGGGGGGGGTTTCTGTCGATCTAAGTAAAAAATGCGTTCGTAGCCGGGTGTATTAGTCCGAACAGGTAGGATCTGGATGGCCGACGATGTCAGGCCCTTGTAAGTTATATCCCAGCTTTTTTCTTTTTTTAGTGTGCTTTTTACTTGGCCTGCATGTATATGTATGTACCATGTCGTCTGATGACTATGGCCACAAGAAGATATCTGATCCCCTGGAACTGGAAATTCGTATAGTTGAAATCCTCCATGTGGCTGGTGGTAACCCAACCCAGGTCCTTTAAAAAGAAAACTGTTCTGAGCCATCTACAGCCCTAAGTATAGTTTTGAGACTGGATCCTGCTGTGTATTTAGGGAGGGTATGGAATTTAATAATCTTGTTTCACCCTTCCAAATGTCACTACTTGGAAATTTTGTATGTGACAAGTTTCAGCAGGTTAGACCTTTTCTTGTACTCATGATGCAGAAGTAATGTGCACACACACAGGTAAGGATTCCCTGATCTAGCGTGATCAAGCTCAAGCAGCAAAACAAGGGTACTAACTACAGTAGCTTCCAGTGGTTTCCAGATTCTGCTTCTTTAAAGTGACTTGACTGAAGAGGCAGATGCAGGCCTGCCAAGGTATGTTGTGGTATAAGGATCGGGAAAAACAGGCTGAATAGATGTTTATTCAGGCAGAAATAACTTATAACAGAGACAGATAACCGCCTGGTCCCAAGGATGCCTCCGGATGCTCTTCTGTACCCATACTGCAAGCAAGAGCGAGCTCTGGGGTCCCTTCCCCAGACATAGTTCTTCCCCTCCCCACCCCTAATGGGCATGGTCAGTGCCACGGGTGTGGACAAAGTGAATATCTCACTACAAAGGTGACACTACTGTCTCAGCTCTGGCTACTCTGGCCTTCGATGGCACCTGCACCCAAATCCACAGACCTGTGCAGACAAATAATACCTGCACATGGTTAAAACTTCATTTTAAATTGTTTCAAAAGATGACCACTGAAAGTGTTGGCATTCCCACCCCACCTGCCAGGGAGACATCTATTCACTCCAAATAGGGCACTAGTGATGGCCATTGATGTTCAGCTTCAGGAAGCAACATTGAGTTTACTGAGCATATGTGGCCCTGAAACAGCAAAGTCCTACCCAGTCAAGGGTTATATGACCTGGAAGCTGCATCATGGAGTGATCCACTTAGTTACTTTGTGTATTCCAGACAGGGTTTCTCTGTGAAACATCTCTAGTTGTCCTAGAGCTAGCTCTGTAGACCAGGCTGGCCTTGAACTTGTGCTGGGATTAAAGGCTTTAGTTGCAACACCACACCCAGACCCCAAAGCCTTTCTTACAGTTAAACTGGAAGACCTAGGCTCTTTCACAGGGTGAGGCTCCTGCTATTAGGCTTAGCTCTTGGTGAAGGGATGTTTGTAGGAAGGATCAACATCTAAACTGACCATCCAGTCAGTGGAGGAGGCTGCAATCCTTGGGGTCCTGCTGGCCTTGGGGAGTCAACCTCTAGAAGCTTAGGCTCAGCTGTCAGCCACAAACAAGGCAAGGGAGAGAGAGAATACACAGACCACTCACCTTCAGAGAGAAAAGCAAAGGGTAAGATAGCCACCAGTTCCCAATTGGCCCTAGGCCAGAGCTGTGATTGGCCCAAGCTGAACAATGCCTCTGTGATGTCGGTGCACAGGTGCTGTGAAATGGAGGCTCCTGAGCCCTTGGCCTCAGTGGAGCTGCCGTCCAGACACAGATCATGGTGAGCCCCTGGCCTCTTCCCACCAGCTCTGAGATATGAATTCAGTCTCAGACAGCTGCCTAGGAATCCATCCGTTACACTGAGAATGAACGATAGTTTCTTTATGGGACAAGAAAACATTGCAGAAGGCTTTAGGTGGTATTCCAGCTTTAGTCAAATGTTGGCAAATCTTGGAGTCAACCCCCACAGGTTTGCCCTTGAGTTTCCTTGTGTAGCCTGCCTCCCTACCGAATGATTGCCAAGATATCTTGATGGAATGAGTGCTTTGGGGCAGAAGCTTGGAGCCTGGTCCTACCCAGGCTTTAACACTGACCTGGTCTTTGCAGAGTGGTGGGTACGATCTCAACCTCTTTGCCAGCCCTCCTGACTGCAACTTCCTGTGTTCCGTCTGCCATGGGGTTCTGAAGAGGCCAATGAGGTTGCCATGCAGTCACATCTTCTGCAAAAAGTGCATCCTTCAGTGGCTAGCCAGGTGCATTGGGAATCCAGGAGGGTGGGGGGGGGTGAGGCTTGGGGGCAACTCATGTGGCCAAGAATGGGAAGGTCTACCAAAAACTGGGTTTCAAGACTCAGATGCAAAATCTGGGACACTAAGAAAGTGTGTGCCTCACTCTCTGGTGTCTGAAGTCCCTAGCCTCCTCAGCTTGGGAGCCAAATCCTCACTGTAGGGCCCCCTTCGTGTCTCCTCTAGCCAGAAAGGAGGAACTAGCTGGGTTATCCCATGAAGGCTTGCTCTAGTAGGCATATGACTTCCAGCTTCCAACATTACACTGATACCTCTTTCTAGACAAAACACCTGTCCATGCTGTAGAAAAGAGGTGAAAAAGAGAAAGATGGTCCAAGTGAATAAACTCCGGAAAACCATTGGCCGCCTACAAGTCAAGGTAGCTCAGAGCATCCACTCCAGTCCTCCTGGTGGGAGGGCGGAGGGGGGTGGGGAAGAGCCAAAAGAGGTGACAGGAAGAAGCCCTTTGTCAGAACCAAATATAGGCCAAAGGTCATAGACATGGTTAAAGAGTATGAATCCTGGATCTACCATTCACTGTGTGATAGTTTGAGCTGCTTATCCTTTCTGGGTCCCTTAAAACTTCAGGTGTAATGTGGGGATTTTAATGAGTTTCAAGGATGAAGTACCTGGTGCACTGGCCATTACTCTTACAAAATGGAGAAACTTGGGATCACAAAAGTTTAGCAGGCAGCAAGGTGTGGTAGTGTACTGGGAAGGCAGAAGCAGGCTGATCCGAGTTTGAGGAAGCCATCCTGGTCTATAGAACAAGTTCCAGGACAGCCAGGGCTGTTACAAAGAGAAACACTCGAAAAACCAATAAAAAGCTTAGGCAGTTCCAGAGTTCATTTGTTTCATCGTCAGGAGATATCATAGATTGGAGGTTATATGGGAGCCCCAGGTGGAAATGCCTAATCAAGTTTAATTCACACTGAGTTTATTTATACTCCTAGTGTAAGAATGCTGCAGCTGGCTGCTTGGTGACATGCCCTCTGGCTCATCGCAAGGGACACCAAAACTCATGCCCCTTCGAGCTGATGGCCTGCCCCAATGAGGGCTGCACCGCGCGGGTTCTGCGTGGGGTCCTAGATGAGCACCGCCAGCATTGCCAGCGGGGTGTCCCGCAACGCTGCCCCTTAGGCTGTGGAGCTTCTCTGGCTGCCTCGGAGGGTGAGCAACACAACTGCTACCGTGAGCTACGTGATGCATGGATCCAGCGCCACCAGCGCAACCGGAACCTGCTACTGAGCCTACTTCGGCGTGTGCACCGAGTGCATCGCACCACCAACTTCATCCGCCGGCAGCTGGCACAGTTGGGCAACTTCCTGGAAGATG